AAGAAATACTTAGATTTAAATTATAGGTGCAAGATGATCAAAGGTGACTTGCCTTGCTCAAGACCTTGAGCTTGATCCTTGAAATCCTCGCACTGCGGGTCTTCGGGCTCCGAAACTACACGCAAAATGGGACAACTCAACAAACGGCGAAAATAAAGCCCTATTATTGATCTCTAAGCATGCCATTAGATAGATCTCGAGATTTGAGGAATTTTGGAAGTTGAACGGAGTCAAACGGACTTACGGTTTGGAAGATATTGAATTTCTAAGATTATTGGATTTTTGATCTAAAGGAAAAATGATTTAATTAAACCCTTTTGAAAAAGAAAAGAAAAAGGGAGGGGAAATAGACTTCCCTCGGGCGGCTAGGGCGCGGCCCGAGAGAAAAAGGGGCGGCGCGGCCGAGATTAATGGGCCGGCCGGCCCGAGAAGGCGGCCCAAGGCACGCGCGGGAGGGGAGGAGAGAGGGAGCTGGTGGGCCGGGTCCATCCCGCGTGGTCCCGAGTGGGACCCGCTTGTCGGCGGCTCGGCTCACCGTGAGCAAGGAGCACGCGACGCGGCGCTAGGGTTTGGGCGGGACGCGGCGCACGCGCGCGGCTTGCGGAGGACGCGGGTGCGGCGGGCCCACGCGCAGCCTCACGGCCCACCGTGGACCACGCGCACGGGGAGGGTGGAACGGAGGGAGCAGCTGACCGGGTCAGCCGACTCGGTTGTGGCGAGGTGGCGCCGACGTGGCGCCTACGTGGCTGCCACGCGGGCCGGCTGGAGGAAGACGAAGGCGCCGGTCGCGAATGGACGGCGGGCGGCGGCGGTTTCTCTGGGACGTCGTGCGACGACGAGGGGCGACAGGGTGTACACCGGAATGACAAGGGGGAACGAGAGGGAGCGAGCCAATGGCTTGGATTCGCCGGAGGATGCTCGACGGCGGCGATTTGCGGCGGCGGCCACCGGCGGCAAGAGAAGAGGAAAACGGCGACCTGTAATAAAGTCATTCACCAAGTAGGTCAGTGTGCGGTTCTTCCTTTTAGCAATCCCATTAGACTCGGGAGAATAAGGAGGCGTCCTCTCATGTATAATGCCATGTTCCTCACAGAATAAGTCAAACTCGTTTGAGAAAAACTCTCCACCACGATCAGACCTAAGTCTTTTTATCTTTCTGTCAAGTTGATTTTCAACTTCTGTCTTATAAATTTTAAAATAGTCTAGAGCCTCGTCTTTCGTTTTCAACAAGTACACATAGCAAAATCTAGTAGCATCATCAATCAACGTCATGAAATATCGTTTTCCACCCTTCGTCAACACCCCATTCATTTCACAGAGATCTGAGTGTAGGAGTTCTAGAGGTGCCAAGTTTCTCTCCTCAGCAGCCTTGTGAGGCTTGCGAGGTTGCTTTGATTGCACACAACTATGGCACTTAGAACCTTTGACAATGGAAAACTTAGGAATTAAACACATGCTGGAAAGCCGAGACATCAAGCCAAAATTAATATGACATAAACGTGAGTGACATACATTAGCCTCATCATCCACACTGCCACAAATATGGTTCACAGACTTATTGCAGAAATCAAAAAGGGAAAAGCGGAACAGGCCTCCGCACTCATAACCTTTACCAATAAAATATCCATGTTTAGACACGACTACTTTATTAGACTCAAAAACCAACTTAAATCCATCTCTAGTCAGACGGGAGCCACTAACAAGATTCCTGTCGATAGAAGGGACATGTTGCACGTTCTTCAGCTGCACGATCTTTCCCGAAGTAAACTTCAGATCTACCGTGCCAACACCATGAACAAAAGCATGTGACCCATTCCCCATTAGGACGGTGGAACCCCGTGCGACCTGATAAGAAGAAAACAATGAGATGTCAGCACAAACATGTACATTGGCCCCTGTATCAACCCACCAATTAGTAGACTGATTAACTAAAAAAACAGTAGGTAAATTACCATACCCGCTTCCATCTCCAGTGTTGCCAATGGTCACATTAGCAGACTTAGAGGTCTGCCCTACAGGTGCCTTCATCCCCTTGTGTTGTGGACACTTCCTGGCCAGATGGCCAGGTTGACCACACACAAAGCAAGTCCTCTCATCCTGATTAGGATTGTTGTTCTTCTTCTTCTTCTTGAAGTTGGTGATCTGCTGAGCTTTGTATTTCCCCTTGCTCTTGTTCTGGGCCTTGTGTACAACATTGGCAGTGGACTGCCCACCATCGCCCTTAGACGCGACATCTTTTTCCCGAGCTTTCTCCTCAACATCAAGAGACGCTATCAACCCCTCAACGGAGTATTCTTGTCTCTTGTGTTTGAGTGCAGTACCGGCACCTCTCCAAGATGGAGGTAGTTTCGCAATAATGCACCCGGCCACAAATTTATCGGGTAAGACACACTTAAGGAGTTCGAGTTCCTTAGCCATGGTTTGTATCTCATGAGCCTGTTTGACTACAGAACGGTTGTCAGCCATCTTGTAGTCATGAAATAACTCCATGATATACAGATCATTGCTAGCATCAGTAGCACTGAATTTAGTATTCAGTGCATCCCACAACTCCTTAGCGTCGGTCATATGCATATACACCTCGACCAGATGATCGCCAAGCACGCTAAGAATGCATTCCACAAAGAGAGTAGTGGCCTCATCAAATTCTTTCTGCTGGTCAGCATTAAGAACGCCCATAGGCTTGCCAGTACTTACCCAGAAGCATTTCATAGCTGTCAGCCACAGAGTGACCCTGATCTGCCATCTCTTAAAGTGCACACCGGTAAATTTATCCGGCCTTAGTGCATCGGCAAAACCAGCCATAGTAAAATTACAGCGCCTATAATAAAGTTTTTGGATTGTTGAGAATATAGGCATATAATGATTTAATATATTTCATAAATAAATCATGACATTACAGATGTATACTAGCATTAACACATCATTAGATCTACACATGTAAACTAAGCAGTAAAACATGAACAGATCAAATATACGCAACATGTCGAACACGTACCGAGGTGGCGGAAAGACCGGTTGCTCGGCAGGAACTACTCGTGGTTGCGAGCGTCGACGAAGGCGCGCAGCATGCGAGTGGAGAGGAAGGCGAGCCGTCGCGGACGAACAGGGAGCAGTCGCGCGAAGCGCTTCCCAAAAACCTTATTGCCGCCTTCTCCCGGTGCAGGACGTCGAAGGCAGAGGTTCCGGAGACCTGCTCTCCCGATCGCTGGTGCACGCTGGCGAGCGGGATGGAGTAGTCTACGAGCGACGGCGCAGCACAGAGGAGGAGGCAAACCCTAGATTGATTTCGTGTGTGTTGCGAGAAGGCAGCGGCACGGTTTATATAGAGATAGGTCGCTTGATCAGGGCGCCCGCACGATCTCCACTCTGCGTAACCGAACCGGATAAGTCGCAAGTAACTTATCCGGACTCCACGCCGTTTTTACGCACCGGATTTTTCGGAATGTTTCCAAAACAAAACAAATCCGAATTTTCCTGCAGCAAAACAAAACTGCAAAAGGAGGCTGCATCTGCCCTGCGAGGCGAGCACGCGCGTGTTCCCCCTCTTCTCTCCACCACACATGCTTGAAGTGACTAGGAGGGCATCCTCCCTTTTAAGGAGGTCACCCTCTCCTAGAATAAGTAAGGTGGTACTAAACTCCACATACATGCCATCCCATGAGGTAGGCTTTTGTGATTTTTCAAAGAATTAATCTTCGAATGGACCTTAGCCCATCTATTAATTCCAACATTTTCATACAAAATTACATGCGTACAAATTTTTCATCAACACTCGTGAAATAGTTAAAATAAATCTTATCACTATGATCGGTGTCTCATTTTATTTAGTTTTATGCAGGAGTTGATGAGCAGATTCAACATTTAAGGATCGTCAACACTCCTCGACTGCCAATTGCGGCAAATTAGCTCATAGTTCACACATTTTACACCGGTGCAGAAAAGTCACTATAGCTAGGCTTGATCGGTATGGTTTTGGTACGTCTGTGCTGCATCTAAAGTATCGAAAACAAATTTTATGTGAGAGCGGCTGCAATGCTACGACTATGCAATCGCACCAATCATGCATATAGAGTGGCATGCTATATATTCCCACAAATGAACATTTCTATTATAATTTTAGGTTTATTTAGTTATTGCCCAAAATAACTAAATAAAGACACAATTAATTGACAATTTCTATTTTTGCGATTGGATTAAAGTAGAAGTTGAAAATTGATAGTGTAACATTGTTGGAGGAGTACTTAATTAATCATAAGAAAATACGTCGCTCTATCACTTGCGGAACATATTTTAGAGAGCATATTCATATGGATGTAAATACAGTGTTCCGTGTATAGTGTTTATGTGTGTGTATGCGTAAAAAAAAGAGTATATTGCATTGGTAGTACACAAACTTGTTAGGTGTGTGCAACTTAGTATATAAACTTGTGAAATGCTTGTTTTAGTACACAAACTTGACTAGTTCGTGCGAACAAGGACCAAAATAGCCTGACAATGTTAATTTTACGAAGCTGATGTTGATTAGGATGTGACGTGCATACGTGTAGTAGGGTACATAAGACATGCAATATTTATAAATGTGGTCTCTACTTTATCCTTCATTGGAAGTGATGAATTTCATATATTTCTAAAGGTTTCTTTTTATATTTTTCTACGATCACTATATCCATTCTATTTTTATTGAAGATGTGTATGTCTAATAACAAACTTTCTCGGATATATGTTTACATAGCATCCTAATGAGCTCCTAAATTAATAAGATTATCCATGTTGTGTACGTTTTGCCTTCCTTCGCACGCACTAGACAAGTTCATGCACCAAAACGAGTATTTTACAAGTTCGTACAATATATTACATCCATCTAACAAGTTCGTGTACCGGCGATGGAAAAGGAGAACGACTTACCGGTAGAACCATAGAAGTGGAACCTCCGAGAAGCCCTCGCTCTTTCTTAAAAAAGGAAATAAAGCCCTCGCTCTCTTTTGCCCCTCAACTTCCAGACTATTCCAGTCCACGACCGTCGGACCGAACCGAACCATCCAGAAGCAGCCGCCGCCCCAATTCTAAAGCATCTCCCCCCCACCCATCTCCGATCTCCACCCGCAGATCCGACGGAGACAAGCGCACCAAGCCCCCCCACCAAACCCTAATCCTCCTTCCCCCCCCTCCCATGGCGAAGTACGGAGAGGGCGACGCGCGGTGGATCGTGCAGGAGCGCGCCGACGGCACCAACGTCCACAACTGGCACTGGGCGGAGCGCGACTGCCTCGAGTGGTCCCGCTCCCGCCTCACCTCCCTCCTCGCCGGCCTCCCCGTCCTCTCCGGCGAGGGCGGCCTCGCCCTCCGCACCACCGCGCTCGACAAGCTCGACGGCGAGGCCTACGTCAACATCCGCAAGGGGAAGGTCATCCCGGGGTACGAGCTCTCCCTCACCCTCGCCTGGGAGGCCGAGGCCACCACCGAGTCCGGCGTCGTCAAGGTCTCCGGCGCCGCCGAGGTGCCCTACCTCGCCGACGAGAACGCCGACGAGGACCCGGAGCTCCGCGTCACCGTCCGCGGCGACGATGGCCCCGTCGCCCGCCGCGCCAAGGACGCCTTCCTCACCAAGGGCAAGCCTCTGGTCCTCGAGAAGATCCGGGAGTACGTCGCCGCCATGGCGAAGGGCGGCCCGGCTAAGGACGAGCTGGATTCCAAGAAGACCCCCACCAAGGCCGCGGCGGTAGAGGCCGGTGGCGCGGCCACCGCGCCTGCCCCTGCGGCGGAGAAGAAGGAGGAGGCGCCGGCCGTGAAGGAGAAGAAGGCGAAGGCGAAGGACAAGGAAGGATTCAAGACGATCGAGATGACGGAGAAATTCTACTGCCGTGCGAAGGACATGTATGAGATCTTGATGGATGAGAACAGATGGAAGGGGTTCACGCAGAGCAATGCGAGGATAAGCAGAGAGGTCGGAGGGCAGTTCAGCCTCTTCGATGGGTCAATCAGCGGCGTCAATGAGGAGTTGCAGGAAGGGAAGCTGATCGTGCAGAAGTGGCGGTTCGGTAGCTGGCCAGACGGCGTGCACTCGACGGTAAGAGCCTACTGCACTTATGATCTATGTGATCACTTGATCTTGAGACTAAATCTATTTCATATTATTCCGCTATGTATAATTGTTAGAAGTGAAAACCATGACAAATGTTGAACGTTATCTACACAAAAGTTTGATTAACATTGAAAACTCAATAAAATTAGGCATAGAGGTAGGGGCTATTGGTCTGTTTGGTGAGGGAATGAATAATAGTAGTAATTTACCTCTCCTTGAGAGTGCCATCCCAAAAATTGTTATTATTAGGTAAGAGTAGTGAATTCCTTTGTTCTCTCGTAATTCCATTTGAACCCCTAAATATGAAACATCGCAGGTCAGAACTCAGAACTATCTTCTGTCAAAATTTCATTTTGCGTTTGTCTATGATAATACTTAATTCCTCCCTTGAGAGTCCTATCCCAAAATTATAATTCATAGGCAGTGGATTTGTTAGTTCTCTTCCTAATTCCATTTGAACTCTTACAATATGAAATTTTTAGGGGGTGAATTTGTTAGTTCTCTTCCTGATTCCATTTGAACTCTAAAATTTGAAACATCAGAGGTTGGAACTGACTTCGTCAAATTCCCTTTCTGACCATGTCATCCCTGATTTAGCATTTGGAGGTTGCTGTGATTTTGCAGCATTTCAGGCAGCGGGTTATATCTATGGAAGCATGTGATTGTAGTTCTAGGCTGGTACCAGTATTTTCATTTGGTAGCATGGAGCTATAAGACTGACCTTCACAGTTCTATCCCTTGTTCTAAAAACTGGTACAAGTGCAGAGTCCATTTAAGGAATTGCTTCCCACCTTGTTACCCAATTAGACTGCTAGCCATATCCATATGTTGTGTCTGATCAAGTGAATACGACTTTCTCCCTCCATTCCATGTTACAAGTCATTTTAGGTTTGTTCTTAATCAAACTACTTTAAGCTTGACCAAGTTTATAGAAAAATGTAACAACATTGTAACCCCAATCAGTTTCATTAAATGTTGAAAATGTAGCTATATTTTTCTGTAAGCTTATTCAGACTATAAGTTTGGCTTAGGATAAACCCAAAATGAGTTATAAAATGAAACGTAGGGAGTATTACTCTACTTGTTGTCGGACACAAGTTTTACCTGGATGCGGGTATTTTTGCCCATGTAATCCTTGGGCGAACTGAGATCTAGTTAGATTATAAATTCTAGCTAGGGGTGCCAATGGACAAATCCGTGCAAATTGACCTTGTGGGGGTGGCACGGTGGCAGCATGCACCACCTCTGCATTGGGAACACGGCAGTGGGGCGCTGTTTTCATGGTCGGTGACTCTGCACCGGGAACATGGCACTATGCCACCGTCTTCTTGGGTGGCTCCATTTTCACTTGCCACTTGTCGATGGACGGCGTTGGAGCTGGAGCTGCTCCTGTCGGTGGTGTCTGTGAATGCCGCCTCTCTCTGCGCCTCCCTCTCCTCCGCGCTCATAGCGGCGAGGTGTCCTTCAAGCTCTCACTGCATGACCTCTCCGTCTTGCCTAACTGCCTGAGCAAGGAGTAGATCCGTAGCAGCAACTCGCTGCTTTCACTGCACCAGCGGTGTTGCCCAAGGTGAAGGCAGGGCAGGAATCAAGGGGCAGCAGCTTGATGCTTCTTGCCATCTTGCTGCTTGTGCACGGATCCAAGATGAAGCAGTTGATCGCTGCTTGACATACCCAGTGTGGCTGCGGTGGCGCCTCCTGCAGCTGCCTGGATGCAGTGCGTGGAAGAGGAACCAATGGTCCTACCATGGTCAAGGAAATGGATTGGGTTCGTTCATTTAAAACCAAGGAAACTCCTGCCCAAAACCAATCCAACCCAAACCTTCTCACTTACATACCCAAACCAGTCCACTCCAATTATCAAACATTTGAACCCACCCAAAACAAATACATTCTTAGGGCCTGTTCTAAAGTATGGTTTGAAATGGATGATTAGCTGCACACAAAACGAGAAACATGATTACATATGATTAATTGAGTATTAATTATTAAAAACTTGAAAAATGATTTTTTTTATTTTTAAAGCAACTTATATATTGAAAGTTTTCGTGCAAAACACACCGTTTAACAGGTTAAAAAGCGTGCTAACCAAAATTGAAGAAGCAAGTTGAAGCGTAGTTTAGGACGCGCTCTTAAATCTGACCCCTTCCACCCATCTCAGTCCAATTCATTATCACCCCTAGTTCTAGCTAGCAGAATGTCTTCACAGTACAATGAGTTTTTTGTGTTTTGCAAACAATCCCTTGACCAAATAAGATCCTGGCTTTTAATTTTGACATGTTTTTGGAGGCCCAAGTCATGTGCATATTTATTTCCTTGCTATAGTAACTCTGGTGATTAATCAGACCACTGTCATTCCTGGCAGCCTAATGTGATTAGCTATGTGGTATTTGCATCTTGTTAATTTTCTGCTTCCAGTGAGTTTCTGTAGTAAGTTACTTGAGAGATAGATATACTCATCTAGCCATGTGAAGTCAACGTCTGTAATTTGTAGGTACTGCTTATATATAAATGTTGAATAAGGTCCTCAAAAATGCGAAAATCGAACTGTGCAGGTTAGGTTGGTATTTGATGAGCCTGAGTCGGGAGTTACAGTCATAAGCCTCAAACAAACTGATGTGCCAGAGGAAGACAGGTATTCTATCTCATCCTACGAACTTCCTGTTAATTAAACCATAATTTTGGCTCAGGCACCTAACTAAATATGTGTGGTCATCTCTTGACTTCAGATATGGAAATTCAACTGTGGTGGAGAACACGGAGCGAGGCTGGAGAGAACTCATCTTCCAGAGGATACGCGGAGTGTTTGGTTTTGGGATCTAAAGCAGTACTTTGACTCTTGAGCTGGATTTCTGCTTTTCAGGAAGTCGAGCGTTACCATGTCACAGTTATCCCTGTCTTTGCTGTCGCAGTTTATTCGATGTTAGACAGAAACTTTGCATATTACGGGGAAGTCGGAAAAAACATCTGTTATTCATCACGCTGGAATGCGTCTGCAATGTTTGCCAAGTGTTAATCTGCAACTGATGGTTGAGTAACCTTGTGTTGTGTTGGTTGATCGTTGATTGTTCTGCAATTTCCTGAACTTTTAAGTGTTGTCTTGCTGCGGTTGATGAGACCAAATTACGCAAAGTTTTCATCCGTGCAGCCGCACTGTGCTGCCCTAAAACTCGCACTTGCTTCAGGAAAATTTGTTTGCTTTTCTCGTTTAAGGCTCTGTTTGTTTCGGCTTATAATTATTATAATCTAGATTATTAAACCAGATTATTATAAGTTGGATTATAATAAACTGACATAAAATAAAATAATCTGTGAGTTGTTTGTTTGTCTGGATTATTGGAGGCATGGATTATTTGGTTTGAAAGGCTAAAGTCTATAATGCCCTTAGCTATCTGTTTGGTTGATGGCGTAGGTGGGTAATTTTTTTCAAGTATGTAGGGGTAGTGGGTCTTTAGCCACTCAATAATCTGAAAAAAACTCTTCTAGAGCAGCTTATTAGATTATAATAATCTGGCTTATAGATTATAATAATCTGCTATAATAATCTACTTGTTTGTTTTAGCTTACTCCTAATAAGCTAGATTATAATAATGCTAAGCTGAATCAAACAGTGCCTAAGAAAAGCTTAGTATAATCATCTCAGCTTTCCCCGTTAAAAAGGCAGTATGACTGTCGGTATGTCATGAAACACAGAATACATCCCGTTGATATTTTTTTCGGATATCATGAAACACAAGCTTATATCCCGTTGAAAAATCACTTCAGTGATGTGTAATCCAGTTGATTTTATCACTCCACAATGATATGTATATCCCGCTGATTTTATCTTTGAAAAAAAATCAAGTATAATGATATGTATATCGCGTTGATTTTTTATGTTGAAACACAAACTTATACTATATCCCGTTGGAAAAATCAAGTACAGTGATATGCATATATCCCGTTGATTCTATCTGTGGGCTGACTGGGCTTTGTGCCTTTGATGTCCTATTTGTGGCCACCTGGGCCTCCTTCCCAGAAAGCCCACAGACGGGGGAGACCTAGGGTTAGAGGCCACCCCTATATAAATCCCGGTCCATCCACACCTGGCTTCCCATCCGCCCCTCCAACTCCATCAGCCGCCGCCATGCTAAGCGAGGTGAGATCGATCGAGGTTGTTCTTCCCTGCGCCGCATGGTTTCCATCTCTTTGCTCTTTTGGGGCCTGTGATTTGAGATCAATTGTCCGTACCATCTGATACTCTTGATGTTTCACAATTGCCAAATTATTTATCTATGAGGCCCTCGATTTGGTGTTCTTTATCCCGTTCTTTTTGTCCTGATTTCGAACTGTTTCTCTCTGTTTTTTTTTCTTTTTGGTTTGGTTTTGATTGCGCTAGCTAATAATAATGCTGTGATAGAGATGAGATTTCAGGCAACAAATTAGAGTCTCTGATGCGCTAAATCCCGTAGCGTCTTCAGCGCTGTACGTTGCCGAGAACGATCCCGGAATAAGTTATCATGCATCCGCCGTTTCATGTGCGGCGTGTGCATCCCGATGTCCTACACTTCCTCCGTTAAATCTTTATCTTTTTTTATGTTTTTTTGCTCGAGACAGTCGCAGTTCTTACGGTATCAAAAAAATTAAGCCGAATTCATCTAATAGCAGTTCAGGAAACGAAACATGCCGTGCACTGCGTTGGAGCATGATGAGTATGATTTTGTCGCCCCAGTCTTAGGATCCGAATTACGGATCTGTGCTGATTGACATGTTATCAAATCTGACTCCATGAGCAATGTTATCAAATCTTCGTTTTTGTTTTGATTTGCTTTCGTTTTGATTCTTTTTTGCTTGTTATTCTCTGCTATTTCGACTGAGGCCGTAGCACTGTTCTACCCAGAGTTGGACAAATATTTGCACAACTTAATACTGTAACCTAAAAATATATAAAAACTGATTATATCTACTGTTCCAACATTGAAAAACTTCAGAGCTATTGTAGAAAGCTGCACAATCACAATAATGCTCTTACGACAAATCTGTGAAGTTTGGACTGCAGGAGAGATGTTTTGAACGACTTCAGAACGGTTATTATGTTGCTGAAACGTGCAAAATTGCTACAATGCTCTTATGATTGAGATGAAATAATAAATAATGTAATGCTCCTGTGATGAATCTATTAAGTTTAGAACGTTGATTTGAACTACAGGAGAAAGGAGAGAATGTTGAGCAACATCCCGAGCCTGACTATATATCTCATACGAATCCTATCAATTACTATATCTCACATGTATTCTGTAGAGACGATCTACGAGTCTGGCAATATCTTGCCGTTGTACATCTTGTCGAGCAGCTTCTTGGCGTCTGGTCGCCGGAGAAGCCCCTTGTTGTTTGGCAGTCCTGTTCCTAGACAAACTGGACACACCAATTTCCCTCGGCCTGCATTGGCATTAGATGATCAGAAGCGTGACATTGAAAAACAAAGCTCTGCTATGAAAGTGGGAATGGAAGTTCGATTGATAGATATATCATCGCAGAACATCAGTGAAAAGCTTTACCGTAGCAGTTTGGGCACTCTGTGAATAGATAGACATCTTTTGCTCTCTTTCGGTTGAGGGCCTTCCATTTTCCAGTGCCGCCGCACATGTCACCTATATCGAGCTGGAGTTGAATTATGGCTCCAAGATGTTGAAAGATGCAGCACTATGCTGCACTACTACTAATATCTTCTGATTTACTATGAATGTTAGTAAATGACAAATCAAACCTAATCAGACATCGATAACTGGTCATAATTGAGTAAAAATCAGCTAGACGGTTGTCCATTTTCAAATCACTTATATCCCATGAGTTCTTAAGACGGGTGAAAACCATTGCACATTGTAACAAAGACATGGCAAGAAAAACGAGCCGAGCAAAATTCTTACATAATACAGCACCGCTACCGTTGCAATTCCGGCATACAGCAGGCTTGCTCATCATATCCGAAGCGAGTCCGTTTGGTGTAAGCATTGTTGGACCTGATGCACTGATTAATGTCACAGCACATAGGCAAGCAAGGCATTTTCGTCTGGAAGGAGTGGTTTTTTCTTCTTCCTGCTTGAGAAACGATGAATCAGAACACATGGAAGCAAAATGTACTAATGAAAGATTGTTTCCAAGTGTCACAACACAAAATTGCTACTCTAGTTATCATGCACCTACTAGCTCGAAGATTTCGTTTCAAGATTAGAAAACTATCAATATCTCACTAAAATGTCGTTTCTCACAACTAAAAGGCAAAGTAATGACCATCGCTAGTCCAACAGTGACATTATGATATAGGGCAGCCAAGTTTTAAGCCTTCTGAAAGTTTAACATTTGCACAACAAATATTTCAGTGCTTTTCTTTTTCTGTATAATTCATCAGCAATCATATATAGATTTCTACTCTTCCATCATATTTTTTCCCTGCAAGAAAAGCTAAGACAACCAGATTAGAAAGGATGTCACAACACTGTCTATTGCCTACCAACGAGCTAGTATCTACCACTCTCATCCAGCTAAAAAAGAGATCACACTCTCATCCAGCTAGTATCTACCACTACCAACGAGCTCAACATGATACCACAGTCACCATACCGCCAGAATCGAAGGTAAACAGCTGTATGAATGCACCGTGCTCGCTAGTGCAAAAAGAATGAATACTGTATGCTCAATTGTGCAATGAGGAGAGTTGGATTCGGAAAGAGCAGGTAATATGACAACCTTGCCATTGGTCAAGGGCTTGCTTGTTGAACATGCCTCTGCGTCGTCGTGCCTCGAGCAACAGCTGATATGGGATCGCGCTGAAACATAGCCACACACCAAGCAGAAAGAGGGTAAATTAGCTCACTGGCCCAAATCCCAGGGAGACAGTTTCTCCAAGAAATCCATCACAAAATTGAGCTCGACTCTTTGTGAATCCGAACAAAGAGCACGGCACGAGGAAGGACGATGCTGAAGCTCGCGAACTTCCCTCATCACGAAAGGGGCATCGCTGGAACTAACTAATTATAAGCTCGGAGTTGGAGAAGAACGAACTCACCTTTGGCCGGGCGGTGGGCGGCGGCGGGACGGCGTATGGAGTAGAGCGGCGGGGAGAGGGAGAGGAGGAAGTGGCAGCCGACGCCCGCCATTGCCGCTCACCTCTCGACTCCTCGCGACTTGTGAGGACGAGAGGAGGGGGAGCGAGGCGACACCCGGCTCCGTGTGCTTTTGGGAGATTGGGGTTAGCCAGAAATATCTATCTGGCCATTTGCTGCGCATACTGGCCCACTGGAGTACGGATAAAACGGCCCACGAAATGTAGCAGAGAGGAAAGGGATAAGTCTATTGTCTCTCCCTTGATCAAATTGCGCCATCAACTGGTGCGGCTTGATAGTCTGATAGGGATTGAGATCCAGTGCAGTTGCGGCCAAAATTGCTTGCTACAGTGAATTCGAACCTTTACTTGTTTTACCGTAAGTGCTACGGTATTTTGCTAGAGTATTCGATGCATCTGCGTCATTCGTTTCGAATTTAGTGGTGCTGGTATAACCATGTGACCGCTTAACTTGCAGTCATATGAGAAAAGCTTAGGGTTTTTCAGCTAGCTTCACAAGGTGGTGGGCTAGACGTCCTGAGTTCGAAGCCTCACATCTTCTAATTATTTGATATTAGATCATTCCCTAATATTTGTATCTTTTTTAACTTGCAGTCACACTAGCTGCGGCGCATGAACCGGATCCGTCTGGTAGCGATCCAAATTCAGGGCCGGCCCTAGGGGGGTCAGGCCGTGCGGCCGCCCGAGGCCATACTACATATTATATAATTTTAATCCATGGGCACCACATATAGTATATATATACTACGTACTGTATAATTTTAATCTATGGGCCATGTGCCTATATTAAGTTAGACAGCTGAATAGCCCAATTCAGAAAATGAATTTTAGTCCATCGCCAGGCATGTTTCAGCGAAGCCGAAGCGATATTCATCTGACTCCCGTCGCTTCGTCTCGATCACATCACGCCACTCGTGTCGTGCCGCCTCGATCACATTACGCCACTCGCTGCTCATGCGCTCGCGGCGCCTTCTCGGTGTCTCGTTAATGGAAACGGCAAGTGGACACGGCAAATCGTGGCTCGCCAATAGCCACGCTCATGTTAATAAGGGCCTCCATATAAGTTTTTGCCCTGGGGCCCCAAAACTCCAGGACCGGCCTTGTCCAAATTGACCTGGCCCACATAAATCGGCCCGTTAATGTAGAGATAGAACGACACCCAGGGCCTGCCAACGTTCAGGCTTTCTCGAACCTGACAGTGCGGCCCATACCGGTCGACACGCAATATTTTGGAATAAGTTCACTTTAGGTCCCTCTATTTGTCGCCCAGTCTGATTTTCTTCCCTGAACCGCAAAACCAGATACGACCCATCCTTCAACTTACAAAACCGTATAAACAAAGTCCCTCGGCAGTATTGTCTCCGGTTTTGGCTGATGTGGCGCCTACGTGGCACTCTATTGACTATGTCTTTATCCCACGTGGCACTGACGTGGCGCTTACATGGCAATTCAATAAAATAATAATAAAATACGTGGGACCCACGTCAGTTAAAAAAATAAATGGTGGGACCCACGTGGCCCCACATGTCACCCTCCCTACTCTCTTCTCTCTATCTATCGTTTTCTTTTCTTTTTCATTCTTTTTCTTCTTTTGCTTCTGTAGATGGCATCCGGCGGCCGGCGAGAGCGCCGCGCCGGTGGAGAGGGCGACCAACGCGAGCTTGTCGGGCCGGCCGACGGGAGAGGAGAAGCGGGTGGGAGGGAGAGGCGCTCCACCTCCGGCGCCGCATCCACCTCCAGGAGCACCGCACCAGTGTCACGCCCTGAAGTTTCCCTCCTTGCTTTAAAATTTGTTAAATAAATCGCCCGAAGAAATTGTTTAAATTAACCAAGAGATGAATCCCTAAATTAATAAATGCAAATAATAATCAGAATCGGCATGTGGAATTTTTCTTGGATTCTACATGTCAAAATATGCTAACAGGATTTTTAGTGGAATTTTCAGAGCTCAATAAATAATTTTAACCAATTAAAAACATTAAACCGCAATAAATAATCCTGGAAAATCCTTTTTTTTTCCTTTTCTCTTCTTTTTCTTCCTTTTTCCTCCCTTTTTCCTCTTGTTGGGCCGTCGGCCCACTTCTTCCCGCGCCCTTCCTCCTTGCTGGGCCGGCCCACTCCCTCCCTCCTTTCTCCGGGTCACCGACAGGTGGGGCCCACCTATCGGCCCCTTCTTCCACCTCCAGCCGGCGGTGGCAACCGCCGCCGAAACCGCCGCGCCGCCGCCGCTTTCCCCGCTCCTCCCGCGCCCACTCCGCGCCGCACGCCTCTCCCCACGTCGCCGCCCACGTCCCGCCGTTTCCCGCCGTCGCGCGCACCAGAGAAGGGGTAGGATTCGATTCGAATCCTCTCCCCACACTCTCTCCCACCTCCCCCACGTCGGCGAGAAATCCGACCGCCTCCCGGCCTCGTCCACCCCTCCCGAGCCCATATAAACTATCCCCGTATTCTCCTCCTTTTTCCTTTTTCCATCGACCGCTCCCGAGCTCTCCACCGCGCCCGCACCGTGCGCCCACTCGCCATCGCCATCTCCACCGTTCCGGCCGCCTCTAGCAGTCGCTAGGGCCACCGCCGCACCACGCCGCCGTCGTCATCGGGTTCGCGCGGCCGAGGTCCGCCTCGTCAACCCCTCGCCCATCGCAATCCATCGCCGGAGATCACTGTCCACCTCGCGCCGGTGAGCACCACTACCGCCGCCTTCGGCCATGGTTTCCGCCCGCCATGGACCACCCCTCTCCCTCTAATCCCTCCCATCTTGTTCCCTAGGAGGTCTCGGAGCTCGTCCGCCCATCGTCGCCGTTCCCCGGTCGCTTGCCGTTGCCGTTCGCCGTCGTCTTCCCCCACGCCGGCCAACTCGCGGTGAGGCACTCCTCCCCTCTTTTCCCCTTCCTCTCCTTCCTAGCGCCGAACCGGGCCGAGCCACCGCTTCGGCCGTGCGCCGTCGCCTTCGGCCGCCGCTGCAGCCTCCCGCGCCGCCGGTTGCCGTCGCCGGCGACCGCATGCAGCCGCCGCTAGCTATGGCCGGCCGGCCGGCTTTGGAGCCGAGCCGCGCCCGGCGGCCGCTTCTATCGCCACCGCCCAATCGGCTCGGGGCCGATCTGGGCCGTCGGTCCCGTGGACCGGCGGTGGACCGGTCCCTTGCGGTGGACCGGTCCCTTGAGCCGCTGCCGAGTGGGGCCCGCTTGTCGGCGCCCCCCCTGATGACGTCAGCCCTGGGATGCTTTATTGCGCAATAATTCATTAAGGACTTTTTTTAATAGTAAAAACATAGAGAATCTTTTAAAAATCATATCTAATTCATCCGAGCTCCGATTAAGTCCATTCAAATCTCAATAAATTCATAAAAATGCTTAAAATCCATTAAAATGGTTTTGTTTCCTGTTACAGTTGACTTATAGTGTGTTTTGCTTGTGTGCTTTGTTTGTTGCGTAGATTTCGGCCGTTTCGTCGATCCGCGGTTCCTCGAAGACGTTGCTGTGGTCTCATCAGTGTGAGAGCAAGGCAAGTCATGCATTACGATTGATCATATTGTACCCAATTTACAAATGTCCCGCATTTCTATTAAATATTGCATTGTTTTACAATATCATGTGGGATGGGTCCTACTACTCAGCCATATCTTGTTTACCTTATGCCATTGATAATTTGGGTATTAAAATGCTTAGATGTTGGTTTTGGGAATGCTTAGCCATGCTTAGTTCAACTAGTACACAATGGGGGAATCACATTAATGCATAGACTTTGATTATTGGCAATAGCTTTGGATTAGTGCCACCGCAAGGGTGTTAGTTAATTAAAATACACTACATGGTGGGCTGTGGGTGCATGGTTTTTCTAGTCGTCCCCATGGCGATTAAGGACCGGTTCGCGGGATGCCCTGGAAGAATTTATCGTACTTACCACAAGTCAGCGTGGGCAACGGCTACCACAAGTCAGCGTGGGCAACGACTGAGCTTGTAGTGTAGCTTTACTCTAACCGACGTACCCAGGCGAGGGTGGGCGTGATGGAGTTGGGTCGGCCGAGGTGTCCGGTTGATCGGCTTCCGGATTCACCGCGGCACGAAAGGGGGGCTGCCCGTTGCTTGCTGGGGACGAGGGCGAACCCTAAGGTGTGGTGCGATCGGTTAGAGGGGGTTATGCGAAGGGTCCTGTCACGGCCTCTTTCCGGTTTGTCATGGTGGCATGTCGGCGCACGATAACGTGTCGTGGGGCTGTGTCTTGTGGGTACAGTTGTACACCTCTGATCAGAGTAAAACTATTCGAATAGCCGTGCCCGCGGTTATGGGCGGTCGACCAGATTCACCGTGATTAGTCTCACCCTAGTTAGCTAATGAACTGGTGTAGTTCAGGTGGTTGGTTGGGCCTGTTGCAACGTGGTGTAGCGTTGGACAGTGATTGGTTAATATTGATTAATTACTACCCTGTTTTACTGCTTTCAACTACTGCTGTTAAATGCTAGCTTTATGCAAATGAGCCTTTAGCCTCCCTTGGATATATCCTGCATCATACCTCCTCTTCCGGTATGACTTGCTGAGTACAGTGGGTAGTACTCAGTCTTGCTCTCTTTTCCCCCACACCAGAGTTGAAGTTCATTTCAGTTGAAGATGTCTCGAAGAAGTTGGTTTCGTCGCTGCCGTCAAGGATGCCTGTGGAGTGGAATCTCCCGGCTGCAGGAGTCAAGTCTTTAGGCTTAGCTCACTTTTATCTTTTTCCGCTGCATTTGTAATCTTTTATATTTTTGTAAGACGTGGATCTGTATGTCAGCAATTGTCGTTTGTGTACCCTGGCTGGTCCTGGACAGGGGTTTAATGCACATTCGGCTTAGAAATTCTGGTTCGTGAATTTCTGGGCATGACAAGTTGATATCAGAGCCGACCTTGACCGTAGGACAAGCCAACTGGAAACCCTAAGAGCCCTCTGAAACCGTTTCATCTGCATATGCCTTTTGCACTTGGATTTGTTTCGGGAAAATTTTGGGGTTTGCTCTTTTGATTTGTGGGAAAAGTCTTGATCGCTATTTAATCGGATTTCTCGGCTAGAGGCAGTCTAGGGTTTTTAGTAAAAGTTTATTCGAAATTTATTCGGCAGTCAGTCGGGAATTGTTGGGTGATATGCAC